CATTCACAGGGAGATCCATTAAGAAACATTCTTTTGTCAAATCCCACACTCTCGTCAAGCATCATCATGGCAACAGCACAGTGATAGAACCATTCACAGTTACCAGACAACAAACTCACAATAGCTGTTTTACTTAACAGCAAAAGAACCAGAGAAGGAGGAACGATGTCAGCACTTTTTCTTGGGGCTGTTGATGTTTTATGGGAACAGGCCACTGACTGGTCATATAATCAAAAAGCAGGAATAGTGAGGAGTGATTTGAAGGGGTGCTCACTGATGGCAAACACAGGTGGGGTGCATTGCACCAGTGTTGACTAGCTAGTCCTCTTTTAAAGCCATCCAAGCTGGTGGCCATCACTACCCCTTGTGGGACTGAACTCCATAGTTTAGTTATGCTCTGTGGGAAGATGTCCTTTGTTTTGTCTGTCCTGGATTTTCCAGCATTCCATTCCATTGGATGTATATCAGTTATAGTATTATAGGAGAGGTGTTCTCCCAATCCATTTCCTCCACACTATCCATAATTTTAAACACCTCTAGCATGTCTAATCTTACTCACCTTCTCTCGCCTTTCCTCATAGAGTAGTTGCTCCATCTGCTTGATTACACAGTGTCATTCTCACAGAGTAACTCAATGGAAAGAGTAGCTGGTTTGGGTTGCTATGTTGTGGCCTCACAATGACTACGGCAAGGAGCCTCCTCAACATGTGATTTCCAGGTTCCAGATTCACTGGCTAGCCATCAATTTAAGATGCTGCCTTATACCAAATGAAATCATTGGTCCATGTAGCTCAGCAGTAGCCCTCCAGGGTTTTAGGCAGTGGTCTCTCCCAGCCCTAACAAGATATGCCAATTTCCAGGCATAATTCCAAGTGCTGCTTCTGACCTATTAATTCCTACAGGACCAGGTTAGCATCCAGTGATAAAACACTACACAGAGATGCTGTGGCTTCAGTAATATGGCTTGCTGTTAGGGTTGATAGTCATAGGAAGGATGTCTTATTAAAAAATAAATAAATAAGCAGATACAACAATAGTACAATGCGCTTCAGAGTAACATACTGCATGAAGAAGCGAAAGTTCCATAAAGATTTTGGAACCATTCCATTCTTTCACATAACTGTTTTTAAAGGATCTAGTAGGAGAATGGAAACCAAACCACACCCTTGTTTGCCTAGGGACACCCTGTTTGCCACAGAATAACTCAGCATGTGTGAACATAGGCTGCAGATGCAAACCTGCTGCAAGGAATGCAAGCCGACCTGCAATGTCAATGAGATTTCAATAACCTTAGCAATTAGGTTACTTAATATTTGGCATCCCCAGTTATGAAGATCTAAATAAATATTGATCTTGTCTTCACTAGGAATATGTTTTGATGATGATATACCTGCCACTAGTGCTATATTTAATGGCTGCTTCCTACCAAGTGTATATCGAACAGGCATGCTATCAAGCCATTAGCAAGCACTTAGAACAGAGCTTGGCACCAACCTGAAGCCACTTTCACAAGCAACTCTTAAATTCATTTTTGCATTTCCTGCAATTGGTTGGTGTGTGTGTGTGTGTGTGTGTGTGTCCCAACAACATACTCAAGTGCTGTGACACCCAATGGGCATGCAGAATTGCCAAAGCAAAACTCTACCAATCCCTTCAAATTCCTCAGATGCCCAAGGAATTTATACATTCACTTCAAGTTTCATTTCTGATGAAATTCAATAGCAACTTGCTCTGCTGCTGCTTCCCTGTAGTGTCAATATATTTTATATTTGCAGCCATGATGAGCCACTGGAAGCGAAGGACAGTAAAATACAGATACACAAATCTCCTTTTTACCTGAAACATTAGAAAATATCTGGGTGGGCAAAGAACAGCAGAGCCTTTTGTACTGTAGTTATGTCCTATAATCCCATCAACAGTTTGAACTGGCAGGTGGTGACATAAGATCACACTGGATGAAAAGCATTAATTCTAGTCCTCTTGGAGTGAGATGCCATCCCAAATGGTCCAGGATTCATTCTGGGATCCATGTGTTTTGTCCTGAGGTGGAACAGATAGTCCAGGAGGCAGGCTAGCTAACAAGTAGTCTGGGGTGATAACAAGAATAAGGGTCAACCAGCAGGACAGTCCAGAGGCAGGAAGTTGATACAGGTCCAGAGTTTACAAGAAACAAGTGGCTCGGATACAAGGCTTGCAGGACCATGGACAGATCACTAGGTGCAAGGAACTTTCTCTAACAGGTCCTAACTCCATATGTCTTATATCCTTCATGGCCCAGTCTGGGATGTGGAGAACCTTAAAGGAACAGTCTTCAGGGCTGAAGCATAGAACTTTTCACCTTTTCTTTTCTTTACCTGGTGCAGTCTCTGTGCCAGTGAACAGCAGGCATTGGAAAGCAAAGTGTCCAGAGTGGTGGGACTTGGTTTCTCATAGAGGTCAGTCTCACGAAGAACTGTCTCTGGGAGTGGTTTGGTATCATGGGTTTCAGACCATTAGTCTCATACTTGAGACCAGGGACTGAGTCTTATTCCAATGTGGGGTTTATGGGAAAGAAGGACTCAGTTCCACCTCTTCTAGGACAACTACCACCTTCTGTTCAGAGTCAAAGCCATGGAACAATGTTGCCTTCAAAACCTCTTTAGGAAGTTCTCCGGTGTGTGTGTGTGTGTGTGTGAATGCCATTTAAGTGTGAGGAAGGGTAACCCCCCCCCCAGATCTGCAAAGCCAGCCAACAGCCTCTGGAAATTTCTTGTCCCAACAAAAGCTGGGTCCAAATAATACCCACAACTGTATTGTGTGGCCACCAATACAATATATTAAAGATAGTAGAAGGACAAATATGGAAACCAACTAATTCAGGAGATGCAGGTCTCTGTTCTTTGTGCGTCACAAGTCTCCCAAAAACTCGCCGCCGCCCCCCTTGGTTTCTAGGGAGCAGTGGAACATAGTGGTGAGTAACCATACCTCGCAAGGCAGCACAATCCAAGTCCTAACATTATTTTAAGGAACAAAATGCAGATTGCAATGACCAAATCCATCACAGCATGCTTTACTCCCAACTGGATTGCTGGCCTGTCCTCATTCTTTGCCCAAGGCAACTACAAACTAGCACACATGTGCACCCACCCACCCTATGTATGGGAGATACAGTTTTCACATTCCATTATTATAATCTATCCTGACTCCCATGCATTAATTACCTTTCCTGACAAGAATTTTTCTCATGACACATAACTACCCCTGAAGGCAAGTTGCATAACACTTCACTGTGCTCGCTACTTGATGCTTATACAGCCTTAAACCTTAAACCCTGTTGAGCTCACACAGTTAGTAAGCCACTTTTGGCTTCTGCCTCTACCAAACTAAACTAAACTAAACTAAAAATAAAGCACAAGTGCCACTAATCTGGAATCATGTTCAAACAACCTCTTCTCTGTGTCAGGGGAAACTGAGGGAAGGAATGTTTTCTGTCCTGCTGCACTGAGTGGCTGGCTCATAACTGAAGCAAGGCAAAATGTAAATGAGAAGCATGGCATATCTGCTCATTTTCAACAGGTTTACAGCCTAGACCTTTCAGAAACCTGACATCTACAATAGCCAGCAGTGTCAAAGCAATGACTTTAAAAACAGCTCATTTTAAACAGATATTACAAATCTACATTGGCACTGAATTTAATAAACCAAAAATGTTGAAATTATCTTGTTCTGACAAGGTGGTTATGGAGTAATTCTATGTCTCTGAAAGGGAAAGTCTTTGCTAAGAGACTTGTTTCAGCTGCAGCTCTGTCATAATGTACCTAGGTGCTCAGGTGAGGCCTAATATGAATACATTAGAATTCTTCAGAAGATAAGAGGAGCAGGTGAATGCCAACATGAGCTGGAGGTAGATTTTCTCGATTTAAGCCAAAATCACATGAACATTTCAAATCACTTTAATTATCACTTGGGAATGTTCTTTATTTCTATTAATGTACATTACAATCATTCACAAGTTATGCTTTTTCTGGTTTAAACCTTATTCCTTACACCCCTCCAGATAATGTAGGAGGGCACTGTGCTACTCAGAGCCAGCTGCTGGCTGATAGTGTTCTGCAAACTAGTCTCAGGTACAATCCCTTAAAATATTGTGTCTGCCTTTCTGTATTACCTGCTTTTCTGCCCCGAGCAGTGCAAAGCTATTGTGTTGTATACAAAGTCAGCATTGTTGTCAATTTCACATCTTGTCAGCAAAAAGTACAAGTTTTTAAAAAATAAAAAGGTGTACACTAGTGTGACCACAATGCCTTATAAAAGAAAAGAAAAAAACATTGAAATGCTTAAGGATTGGGAACGTGGAGGCAGAAGGACACAAACAACTGAAGAGTAGATTTTCAGCTGTATGACAGAAAGCATGGTGCTCTAGTTACCTCCCCCTCCCTCACTCTCACGCACACACACACACACACACACACACACACACACACACTATTAAGGGCAGTGCTATCTTTCTAAAAAATAGTGATGTTGGAACTTACCACGAACACCTCCCTTGTTCTCTTATAACGGCAATGGCACTCACCTGAGAGGTGCCGGAACAGAGTTCCAGCGACTTCTAGCTGGAAAAAAAAACCCTGATTAAGGGGGAGACACTATCAAAGTGTGAAATATTGTCACTTAGATTTGGCCTGTGGAGTCAAAGCAAAGTCCCAAACTGACTGAAAATCTTTATAGTCCTTCTAAGCCAGTTAGGTAAGCCAATGCAGCACCTATACAGTTGGAGTCATCCTGGAACCAAAGAACACCTCACAGTCCAGGGAACGGGCTCCCTGTGTGCAGCAGCAACACAGAGGTGTGAAGGTGCCCTGTGCCAGCCCTAACAGCTCCTAGTAGAGTACAGGGTACCAAAGCTATGGATAATCCATAGTGCCATTGATACATTTGACATTATGTTCCACCTAGAACCAAGGTGAGATGCTTGATACTTCATTTGAACTGAGATGGTTGAAGAGACCTTAGCAAGATTTCAGATAGCTCAGTCTGTAGAGCACGAGACTCTTTCAGGGTCGTGGGTTTGAGTCCCACATTGGGCAAAAATATTCCTGCATTGCAGGAGGTTGGACTACATGGCCCTCATGGTCCCTTCCAACTCCACAGTTTCTATGATTCTAAGAGCAAGAGATTTAGGACAAACAAAATGAAAAGCTAAAAAAAGAGAAAGATTTCATATTAATGGAAAAACTGCCAGCAGGAAACACACATCCCTTCGTTGCCACATCAGTGGGCAGAAATGTTCTTATTGTCATTATCATGAAGGCAAAGGAAGACGAGTGCCCGGAACTCTGCCTTTATGTGGTTAGAATCAGAGACAGAAGCTATTTTAAGTTAAGGGAACAGAAGTTACTACGAATATTTTTGTGGGACTAAACTAAGACCACGGTTTCTTTTTCCCTAAATTTACATTTCTTTAAAAAGCTACTTACAGGAAGAAAAAACAACAACCCAGCCACACTTTATTAGCCAGTATGAAAACAATGACTTATTTTTTCTAAGTTTTGATCTTATATTTGAGCAGCCAGTGCAACCAGCATATGATGAGATAATTCACACAACCATCATTACTGAACTAGTCAAAACCAGCTCAGTTTTTAAATGGATTTCCATAGGGGGAAGTAGACTCATAAGTTAGGGAAATGTTCTGAAAAGTCTTTGAAAAGTGGGTTAAATGCATATGGGATTTCTCGCCCCATATCCCTGCTTAATGTGGATTACAAAATTTTTGCAGATATTTTGGCTAAAAGGTTAAAAAAAGTATTAGTGGAGGAGATACACAAAGACCAAGCTGGCTTTCTCCCGGGTAGACACTTGTCTGACAACACGAGGAATATAATCAACATTTTGGAGATGTTGCAAGTGAATATTAATACTAAAGCTGTTTTAATTTTTGTAGATGCGGAGAAAGCCTTTGATAATATTTCTTGGAGTTTCATGAAGAAAAACCTTCAGGGGATGGGGGTTGGTCAAGGGTTTGAAAATGGTATAAGTGCAATTTATTCAGAACAAAAGGCTAAACTAATAGTTAATAATGTGCTGACGGAAGAATTTAAGATAGAGAAAGGGACACGACAAGGCTGCCCAATTTCCCCATTGCTTTTTATTTCGGTCCTGGAGGTTTTGCTAAATATGATCAGAAGGGACCGTCTGATCAAAGGTATACAGGTCGGAGCTAAACAGTACAAATTGAAAGCTTTTGCAGATGATTTAGTATTGACATTACAGGAGCCAGAATCTAGTACTAAAAGAATATTAGAATTGATTCAGGAATTTGGTCATGTGGCAGGATTTAAATTGAACAAGTTAAAAACTAAGGTGCTAGAGAAAAATTTAACACTGATTGAGAAAGAGAGGTTTCAGAAGGAGACAGGTTTAACATTGGTTAAGAAAGTAAAATACCTGGGGTTAATATGACCGCTAAGAACTTAAACCTATTTAAAGACAATTATGAGAAATGTTGGTCAGAAGTGAAAAAGGATCTAGAGATATGGTCAAACTTGAAGCTTTCCTTGTTAGGTCGAATTGCTGTTATAAAGATGAATGTATTGCCAAGAATGTTATTTTTGTTTCAATCATTGCAAATCTTGGACAAAATGGACTGTTTCAAGAAGTGGCAGAGAGACATTTCTAGATTTGTCTGGCAGGGCAAGAAGCCCAGAATAAAATTTAAAATATTAACTGATGCAAAGGACAGAGGTGGATTTGCCCTGCCAGACCTCAAACTTTATTATGAATCAGCAGCATTCTGCTGGTTGAAAGAATGGCTGCTTCTTGAGAACACAGACATTTTGGATTTAGAAGGTTTCAATAATGTTTTTGGGTGGCATGCATATCTGTGGTATGACAAGGTTAAAGCACATAAAGCATTTAAAAACCATATTGTCAGGAAAGCATTGTTAAATGTCTGGATAAGATATAAGGACTTACTTGAAAACAAAACCCCAAGGTGGTTGTCACCGATGGAAGCAAAGGCTCAGAAAAGGCTCAATATGGAGGCCAAATGGCCGAAATATTGGGAAATTTTGGAACAAGAAGGAGACAAATTGAAATTGCAGAGTTTTGAGAAATTAAAAGACAAAGTGCGAGACTGGCTTCATTACTATCAGATAATGGAGGCATACAATTTGGATAAGAAAATTGGCTTCCAGGTGGAAAAATCAAAACTAGAAACAGAACTGTTAGAACCCAAAACTAAGATTTTGTCAAAGATGTATAACTTGCTGTTGAAATGGAATACTCAGGATGAAACGGTGAAATCTGCTATGATTAAATGGGCACAAGATCTTGGACATAATATTATGTTTGCTGACTGGGAACAGTTGTGGACCACAGGTATGAAATTTACGGCATGTAATGCCCTAAGAGAGAATATTATGAAAATGATATACAGGTGGTACATGACACCAGTCAAGCTTGCAAAAATCTACCATTTGCCTGATAATAAATGTTGGAAATGTAAAGAAAATGAAGGTACATTCTTTCACCTTTGGTGGACGTGCCCAAGGGTTAAGGCTTTCTGGGAGATGATCTATAATGAATTGAAAAAGGTATTTAAATATACCTTCTTGAAGAAACCAGAGGCCTTTCTCCTGGGCATAGTCGGCCAATTGGTGCCAAAGAAGGATAGAACTTTTTTTATGTATGCCACAACAGCAGCAAGAATACTCATCGCAAAGTATTGGAAGACACAAGCGCTACCCACCTTGGAAGAATGGCAGATGAAGGTGATGGACTATATGGAACTGGCGGAAATGACTGGCAGAATCTGAGACCAGGGAGAAGAGTTGATGGAAGAAGACTGGGAAAAGTTTAAAGACTATTTACAGAAATATTGTAAAATTAATGAATGCTAGAATGATGTTGGATAGAAATTAAGTGGTCTTTAGCTGAAATGTCACAAGGGAATATGAAAAAAATGGATTATTAATAGGTAAAAATTTAAAATTACAATACTTTATGATTAATGACTAGGATATAAAAAGAGGGGAGGGATTTGCTGAACTAACAAATTGAACTGGAATACAAAAAAGGGAGGCGTGAGGAGGTCCGGGAAATAAGCAAATGAAGGATAAGTAAAGGAAAGAATGAATTGTTTTTAATCATTTTTATTTTGCATTTTTCTTTTTTCTTTTTTTTATCTTGTAATACTCTGAAAATCTTAATAAATATCTTATTAAAAAAAATGCATATGGGATTTCTGTCTTGCCATTCACAAGTTCTACTATTTATAAAACTCATTGAATGTTTTCAACTTTCTATAGAGAGGAGGTGATTGGTTTTGATTCAAATTTAAAAAACAACCTAACAGATTTTTATCCAAGACAAGGGCATTCTTCTTTGAAGTTAAGTAAACACAGGGGAAGGGAGCAGCAGAAACAAGTATGATAGCCCTGTCACAGTTCCATTTGCCCTCCATGAGCTGGAGAATGAACACCTGAATCTGAGAGCCTTCTTCAATAGTTCCCCATGCATTTTAGACTACAAATTTAGTTGACTTATTTGCAGTTAAATCAAATTAAGCCTGATTTTCTTGAATCCAAAAAACATGCAGGAAGCACCCACAGGTCTTTCCCAATTCAGAAGTTTCCCCTTCAACAGATCGGGGCAACTGGAATAGTGAGGCAGGTGGAACAAGCACTATCATCTCCACTGCCACCTGAATCCAACCCTCTCAAATGTTTACTGAACTCCAGAGAAGAATGTCCAAAGAGGGCTTGCGTGAACTGTGAAAGTCTTGAACTTGGATACCAGAACACACACACACAGAGAGAGAGAGACAGACAGACAGACAGACACACCTCCCTCTGCAAAGATTTAAAGGCAATTGTTTCACCTACTAAAATATGTGAAATGCTCTGCGGCAAGAGGCTGTTCTACTTTGCTGCCCCAAACTTTTCCAGACCTCCGATGCAATTGGACACCAAGGCCCCAGCCATTACAGCTGACATCAGGGACTTCTAGGATGACACTGCAGGCAGCACTTAGGCCTTTGTGCTCATAGCCCACAGTGTCTGTGGGGAACAGGTATCGTTTTCAACTGAATTTAACTTTGGAACAGTTTACAGGAACAAACAGGGAAGCTGAGAATACGGTTTGAGTGGATCTGTGCAGGCAGAGTCTTGTGGAAATACTTTACTGATTGCCCAGCTTGCAGTCTGAACAAAGTTTATTGTGCCAGCACTCGATCCACTTTCGGCATGGAGACAACAGTTTCTAGAAGATGAGTTTAGGAGCCCATCATGGCTGCAAAGGCACAAGGGTCAGGCCAGCCATACTTCTGGTACACGGTATCCTCATGGGATTTAAATGCTGAAGAACTACAGTCTTCCCTTGCTACTGTTCTCAGAAAGGTGTGAAACAGCTGGAATAATAGGAAACAGGGCAGAGCTCAAAAAGTTTGATTAATTTTGACCAACTCTGCTTTCGGGGAATGGGCAGGGTATAAATAATAAAATTATCATTCTGCACACTGAAAACTTTAGCTTTCAAGGTTTCCACCTGAAACATTTTTCAAACTTTTAAAAGAGCATTTAGTTTACTAAAGCATCTCACCTAAATGATTGATTTATTAAATATATTTGCATATTACCACAGGTGCATATTACCACAGGACAGGTGCCTTTCTCAGATGCTGAAGGAAAAGTCAGAATTCACAATTCAGGAAACAAATGCTGCGGCTCAGTGTTAGGAAGAAAAGCCATCGCTGGTTTTTTCATCTGCTATTCCAGTAACAACAGAATTTAAAAACAACAACACAGAAAATAAACAAGCCAGCCCTTTATGTTTCAGCTGCACCTATTAAAATTGCCCCAATTTATCAACTGCAAATTGGTTTATTACTCTAGCAATTAACCTAAATAAAGCTCGCAGTTCTGGTTAGAATGCTTTTATTCATACAGTTAAGTACAAGCTTAATTGACTAAGGAAAGCCTCATCTCCTGTACAGCGAAATTATAACAATATTTCTGTCCTTGACACCCTGCTTACCTCCGATAAAGCTTTTATAGAGGTTTTTCTGTGCCAAACCTCAGTTACCTTTTAA